ATGTGTGAATGAAAAAAAAAAACACAACTCCAGGTCTGTTTGTGATGAGGAAACAACATTATCATAGATTATCATAGAAACTAGTATTATTTTGGGCCCTTTAAACACATATTGCAAATCTATTTGAAAAATCACATTTGAAAATTTAGATTTTTTCCCATACTCATAAAGAAGTACAAAGCATTAAAGTTGCACTATGTAAGTTTTCAAGTGGGGGTTCGTTTGTCGTGTTATTGTGCTTTGCCTGGAATGTTCCACAATATGACCTTGGACTTATCAATTTTGCATTTAAACAACTATGGGTGTTTTTAGTTTGGGCTTGCCTCTACTCAGATCTTAGCTGTAACTGTGCCTGTCAAGATAAACACTATATTGACTTGGAACTATATATTTTTGGGGTCAGTATTTATTATGTGTACATTTTATTGAATGGGCAGGTGAATCAAATGAACGACGAACAAGAGAAAAATACTTGATGTGCGTCCAGGACGTCCGTTGCCCAGGAAACAAAAGTCATTTTCCGGTCTTTTCCCGGAACAACAGCAGACCAGACTTAGTGTATTTATTAAATAAAACCCATAAGCGGAGGTGATCGGCTCAGCGGCTGGTTCCTGGTTTATTCCTGGTTTAGTTCTGGATCAGTCCTGGTTTAGTCCTGGTTTAGATCTGGTTCAGTCCTGGTTTAGTCTTGGTTAAGTCCTGGTTTAGACCTGGTTTAGACCTGGTTTAGACCTTGTTCGGTCCTGGTTCAGTCCTGGTTCGGTCCTGGCCTATTGGGCTGTCAAACTAATGGTCTGACCCTGATTTATCACGGGCACGGGCAGGTAATGGGTAGAATGTTAAGGGGTCCGGGTGGGTGTGAATTTAACTTTCAGTTAGGTTTCGGGTGTGGCGCTATACTACGTGGGTGTGGGCGGGTGCAGGTCTCCAAAAATGGACCAGTGCAGGACTCTGGTCAGGGCCACACATCTTGCATTGTCTATATTTGTACCTGTAACTTGGCCTGGCTTTTTCCATTGATAAATCCACTGTCTTATGGGGGAACAGTTCAAGCAAAACAGTTACATCTCCATGGAAACAACAAACAAGCACTTGGCATATCCTCCAGCAGAAAAGTTACACAGTACGTCTTTAACTACATCAGTAAGTCACAGCTGTCTGGAGTGTATTTTTGCTGCAGTCCACATTGTAGTCCAGTCATTGAGTTGTAGTCTTGTTTTAACTCTCCTGGCAGAACACACACATTATCAGAGTGAGCAGCTCTGTGTTTGGGTGCCAGAGCAGCTGAAGGCATTGTCTGCTACACCATAATCAAAGCTGATTGAATACATGAGGAAAAGCCAAACACGCGCTATCCAATTGGGACAATAAGCGTGAGTGCTCAACTGTGTTAAATGACATTCAAGCATCAGTTTAGAGTCAGCTCAAAAACATTGGATTCCTCACATAAAAATCTTCTTTACAAGGCTGAGGAATATGATAAAGAATTCTTAACACCATTTTCTTATAGCCTAAATCTCAATTAGGATTAGAGTATGATTGATGGTGATGCATATTTGACCGTTAAAGTCCTTGACAAAAATCCCAAACACTTGGCATGATTCATCAGCTGGTTTCACTTTGTGGAAACTGTCTGACCTTGAAGCATTAGGATTCATTCACTCACTCATAGTAGTTTACTTTTTTTATTTAACCAATCACTGCTATTTGGTTGTGACGTATGTAATGCACCGCTAATGGGACTAACTGTTATATTAGGTTTTTTCCAAATCCCATAGGAAGAAGTGGAATAATGTCTTTCCCCTTGATAAAATTCACCAAACATTCTCTTAGTTCAGGCTTTAAATCCTCGATCTCAGGAATCATTCCCAACACAGAATGTCTGTCTTTGTCTACATCCATCTCGACCGCTTTGTTTACTGTTGTGCTGTACCACAAAAGGACCCAGACAGACACTTTAGTTTGACGTCATGGCTTCACAGCTCTTCGCTCGTTGGCCAGTGCGCGGTCTAAAACTTCCGGGGTTCTTGCAAACCGTCTAGTGTATTCCAATTCCTGACCTAGTCGCTGGAGAGAGATTAAATTAAAATAGTGGAGGCACTAGTTGGCTCTAGCCTGGCTACCAAACACTGGCATCAGTGTGAACATTTTAAGAAACATAACCTACTTAACTTGGAAAATGTTAACAAATTTAATTACCTTAAATTACTTTTGTAAGTGTCTTAACTCTGGTATGCCACTGAATTCAGAATTTGCTAGGACCATAAACTGTACACACAGAGCTACTAAAGAGGTGCTACTAGTGGTAATTCTGTTGTCCTAAAGTACAGGACTCTGGGTCAGTCCTCTTTCTCTGCCAAAGAGGCCAGACTGTGGAACTGTGTGCCAGCTCAATAAAATGAAATAATACTGGAAACAAATAGCAACAAATGTAAACATAAATTAAAATAACTGTATGTTTCCAAATAAAAATGCTCTCAATGATAATGTAATAATAGTGTATATTTCCTGTCTGTAAGTTATCTTGTGTTTTGTCTGTTTTTATGCATGTACTCTATATTTTCTATGAACAGCTGTTGAAAACCAGCCAGGCTGGCACCACCTAGTGCCTCCGCTCAATTTCATTTCTCTCCAGCATCTAGGTCAGGAATCAGAAAACCCTGGAAGAGCTGTGAAGCCATGACGTCAAACTCATGCACCTGTCTGGGTCCCTTTTGTGGTACAGCACAACAGTAAACAAAGCGGTCGAGATGGATGTAGACAAAGTCATACATTCTGTGTTGGCAATGATTCCGGAGATCGAAGATTTAAAGGCGGAATAAAGAAAATGTTTGGTGAATTTTATTAACGGGAAAGACATTATTCCACTTCTTCCTACAGAATTTGGCGCATTTCATATGTCACGAGCAAATAGCAGCGATTGGTTAAATTAAAAAAGTACCCATTAAAAATAATACATCTGGCTTGTCCAGTGTGACTGAGATGTAAAGAAAAAACAAAAGTCCATTCATCTTTTTGTTAAAGGCAACAATTTTGAAGACTTTTTACCATTCAAATGACACGATATTTAGTTTTAAATTGTTAACAGACATGGCACCATTCACTGTGACTGGTTACATCCACCTGTCACTCACTCAGAGCATGACAGAGGCTGACCAATGGGAGGACAGGATGGGGAAGTGTCTGTGTTTGAGCACAGAGCTGCACTGAATCATAATATGACAGTTTCACCAAAATAGCACAGCGTTATGGAGATTAGATTACCAATGGATTGTCATATTGTCATATTCCTGAGTCTGTCTCCTATAAGTAGCCCTCTAACCCTTTCAAAATGTAGTCAGACAGTTTCAAGTCTTTCCAGTATAATTTTAAAACATCATATCCATCATTTCCCCCATGTTTTTCTATAAATATTACACAAAATGGATTCCTGTGATCTTTAAGAACACAGTGGAGCACTTCCTGTATTTTCGTATGATATCACAAGGCGTGTTCTGTTCGAGAGAAGAGCTCCACTATGTTTTTGATGAGAAAACAACATTAAAATATAGATCAGAAAATAGCGTAATATGTGCCCTTTAACATCTTCACTGTCTCTAAGTTGAGATGTAATGAGTGTATTTCTGTTACTGCTCGGTTGGGTTTTGCGACACCACTGACTCACAAGTAAATCCCTTCTTCACACTTCACACAGAGAGTCACTTAAGGAATCCTGCCTCACAACTCAAATCCAACATGGCGTCTGCTCTCACTGTCTCCTTGCCAGTCAATAAAGACACTTGTATTCTTCACTTGCAACACAATATGGAGAGAGCAGCCAATATAGTCAACAAAAGTACTACAGTAAAAATAAAGAAGCATTTGGTGAAATCCAAGCTTTAAACCCACAAAATTCCTCTCCAAACCATAGACTGTATAAAGAAGTAGACTAAAGGAGCGCGGCATCACCTACAACGTTCTGCTCCAGCCAAATGAAGCTCATCGAGGCTTGCAGTTATAGGACCGAACTTACCTTGTGCTCATCCGAATTAATCACCATGATGAGTTTATAAGCACTCTTCACAACCCTCAGAGATAATCAAATAATAAACTGCTTTATAGTTGCAAAGAGTGCACACAGGAGCATATTTTGACCTCGAGAGCTGCTTATACAATACATCTGTAGTGTATGTCAGGTCTCTGCACTGGCTTTCTGTGGCTCAGTGAATAGACTTTAAAGCAGCTCTGCTTGTGTACAAGTCTCTCCATGGCCTTGCACCAAGGTACATCTCTGACATGTTAGTGTCATATGAACCACCTGCATTCTGAGGACCTCAGGGACCAGTCTCCTGCTGGTGCCCAGAGTCAGGACTAAACACGAGGAGACAGCATTTCAGATTCATGCAGCTAAAACCTGGAACAGTCTTCCTGAACATGTGAGACAGGCGTCTACTTTGACCCTGTTTAATCCAGGCTCAAAACAGTTCTGTTTAGCTATGCATATGACTGAAAGGTTTTCATGCTGCACTCTTCTCTCTCATTTAATGTCTCGCTTTTTAATTTTATGATGATTATTTCTGTTTTAATTAGTTTGTATTGTGATTTTAATGCATTTCTTATTCTACAAAGCACTTTAAATTACTTTGTGTTGCTTGCCTTGCTCAGATAAGACAGATTTTGCTCAAACACATGGAGAAAAATCAGGTACAGGCTCCTTTAAAACTACATTACATTTTATGTGTGTGAAAGTTACTCAAATGTGACTCATCATCACTACCCATCAGAGCTGCTCCCTTTCTCCCTCACTCACAATCACATGTCTTCACATCCATTGCCTTCTCCACACGTCCCTAACCCCCTCAGCACCTCCTCCACTTGATTCATCTACCCCCCACGATGCCCTCCTCTCCCCCCTCCCCACCTCCCTCCTCCGCTGCTCGTTCCTCACCTCTGTCACACCGACTGCGCCTCCCTGCACCCTCCATTGTCCTAATTATTCCCCCCACCCACGGGCCACTCACCATCTCCCACCAGCTGCAGCAGAGCCAGGTCAAGAGGACGTTTCCAGCGCGAGTTCTTGTGCAAGGCGATACCGTAGCCTGTGGTGGCAAATACCTTCCCCGAGCCTATGGTCATCACCTGAGGAGGGACACAGCACCATCAATAAGACAGAGAGCGGCTGTTAGGGCTGTCAAAAAACAATCAATACACAGATACTAATCAATACTAGGGATGCAGTGATACAGGTTTCTCATGATTCAATGCGGCCCTATAGTGTTAAGAAGTAATTGAATAGATGTACCGAAAATACATATTCTGAATACAAATTTTGAGTACCTGTTTTTCATTTGGTGGTATTCAGAATGCAGTTATTTTCGTTTTAAATTAAAAGGAGTACATGGCAGAACTTCATCATGCAATTTTGGCTTTTTGTCTCTAATGAGGCATAAATGACTCCATAACAAACAAATAAAAATTAAGCTGTCATCTGTCATGTTTTCAACACTATTATATAACGCAATTTAATGTGAAAGTATTCCAAGTATTCAGAATACAGTAATCTGATTGAGCCATGTATCAGAATATGTTACAGAATACATTTTAATGCAGGTATTCAGTATTTTGTAACTAAATACATTTTCAAAGTAACCATTTTCTTGATGGTCAAATGGTGTGGTAACTTGAGTGTGTAATACTGAATTGAAAGATTTAATATTATCTTGAGTACTGTGGCATCCCTAAGTATAGATAGTGAAAAAAGTCTCCTCATAGAGTCTTTATAAGGAGCTTTTTATAATTATTGTGGCATTGAGATTGATATTTCTCAACCAAAAGTATCAAAATCAAGTTTTAAATTTAGTATTTACCGAAATATGAGGCTCATTTTAGAGAAAAAGTATGAACATTAGCCATTTGTACTGACCTTACAACCTTCGTCCTTCCTGGCCATATAGTTCAACACTGCAGCGTCGTAAATAAAAGCATCTAGCTTCCTGTAAAGAAACAAAAGGAGAGTTTAACATTAGTTCAGAATATAATTGGACAACTTTTCCAAAGTTAAAAAAGGTAACCCCAAAAGAAAACTAATTGCAAATCACTAAATCCTTTAATTCTCAAATGCTATTGCTGAAATATATTGTAGTCTGCAGAAAAATTACAAATAAGATTCTAAATTTATTCACTACATTAATACATAACAGTCTATTGGTGAATCCTATATATGCATATTTTTTAAACAAAATAAATAGCCTGGATTTGCAATTTGTGACTAAAAAAAGGCTATTTACCGAACTCATTGCCACCATTAAACCTGAGATTCCATTGCGAGCCATCTGTGATCCCTTATATCTATACAGCATAATAAATTTCCCCCATAGACTCCCCATTGATGTAAATACTATGTGGAGGCCCTGTGAGAATTCATTCATGATTTGCAGCTTGTGACAGAGAAGGCGAGCACAGCTGAGCCTGGTGCTGTCTGTTCTTTGAGAGAGATGCATATGAGGCAGACAGGTCGCTGCTTCATACGGAGAGCAGGAAAAGAGAAATCATGACCAAGGAATGAAAGACGAGTGGAGTGGTGACGCATATGGCAGCGCGAGGGAGAGAAGACAAGGGAGAATAAAGTAAGGCACAGATCAGATGTGAGAAAGCAGAGGATTTATACAGAGCGAGGAGCCAACAGACACAGAGAAAGATTTACAGACTTCAGGAGCAAAAGACGGAGGAGCGGAGGAGGACTGATGAGGATTAAAACGGTAAAATACACAAGCGGAGACACACAGAAAGAGATCAGAAAATCAAAGAAAGACAAAGTACTGTAAGATCAGACCTGGGGTGTACTCAGTCACATACTCAGTTACCTTTACTTGAGTGACTTTTAGTAAGACTGTACTTCAAGGTAGTTTTCAGACCGCATTCTTTTGCTTCTACTTGAGTAATATTTTGTACAGTGTAACAATACTTATACTTGAGTAATATATTGTACAGTGTAACAGTACTTATACTTGAGTAATATATTGTACAGTGTAACAGTACTTATACTTGAGTAATATATTGTACATTGTAACAGTACTTATACTTGAGTAATATATTGTACAGTGTAACAGTACTTATACTTGAGTAATATATTGTACATTGTAACAGTACTTATACTTAAGTAATATATAGTACAGTGTAACAGTACTTATACTTGAGTAATATATTGTACATTGTAACAGTACTTATACTTAAGTAATATATTGTACAGTGTAACAGTACTTATACTTGAGTAATATATTGTACAGTGTAACAGTACTTATACTTGAGTAATATATTGTACATTGTAACAGTACTTATACTTGAGTAATATATTGTACATTGTAACAGTACTTATACTTGAGTAATATATTGTACAGTGTAACAGTACTTATACTTGAGTAATATATTGTACAGTGTAACAGTACTTATACTTGAGTAATATATTGTACATTGTAACAGTACTTATACTTGAGTAATATATTGTACATTGTAACAGTACTTATACTTGAGTAATATATTGTACAGTGTAACAGTACTTATACTTGAGTAATATATTGTACAGTGTAACAGTACTTATACTTGAGTAATATATTGTACATTGTAACAGTACTTATACTTGAGTAATATATTGTACATTGTAACAGTACTTATACTTAAGTAATATATTGTACAGTGTAACAGTACTTATACTTGAGTAATATATTGTACATTGTAACAGTATTTATACTTGAGTAATATATTGTACAGTGTAACAGTACTTATACTTGAGTAATATATTGTACAGCATAAAAGTCCTCCTACTTGAGTAAAAGTTTTGGCTATTCTTCCCACTGTGAACAAGTCAAGATAAAAGCTTTAAGTTGACGATATTAGATTATTTGAACATCTGTGTTTCTTGCACAGCTCCTTCAGATATGATTTAGTTATTCTATTTTTTGTGGTCTATCTTTTGTTTGAAAATAGCAAATTTGGTGCGTTATCTAATGATTCTCCTTCCAATTGCATTACATACCTTTTAAAGAAAACATATTGTGCTTGAGTCCGCATTACAGCTCTAATCTATGACACTTGAGGATCATTATGTTTTAATCTGGACATTTTAAATCACAATACTGACCTAAAATTACTTAATAAAAGAAACAAGTCCTTCTGTCCTGACTTCTGCATTCAGAAACCGTGGTGCACAATGGGTGCTGATGTCGCAGTAAATATTATCACAACAAAGAGCTGCACAGATGTTTGCAGCCCTGATGGATCGCTGCACATCACATTAGCAAGTAGCATGTTTTAATTTGATGAACATGATGCTGCAGAATCCTACGCGCATCACCGATAAAGAAAATAAAACTGGAGTACAAAGTGAGTACGGAAAAGTGGACGTGTACCAATGAAAACAGGGATTGATCGTAGCAATGATGTCTTAAATAGAGGAGTATAAAGACGATTCAATAAATACAACTTCAAGAGGATAAATGAAAAGGGGAAACTGTTATAACACGGTTAAAAGCTCTAAAAGTTGATTTTGAATAATAGATCTGCTTTAAATTATAAATGAGATGTTATATCCAGACAGTTAATTAAAAAGCAAAAGCTGCTTTGGACTCTAGTTTGTACTACAATTTGAATAATATTATTTTGAAGTAACACTACTCTTATTTGAGAACAATTTTTGACAATCCTACCCACCTTTGAGTAAGATAAGACGAAGTGTGATGACAGAAAGTAAAAAGAAGTGCTCGTCATTGGTGTATGTTAAAGTTACAATAGCACAATCAGGAGCTCAGGACGACAGAGGCTTAATGTAAACTGGGATTAGGCAAAAGACGAGACAAGTGATGGAGAGGCTAAAACACAGGAAGTAGTGAAGTGAGGTGAGACAAAATATGCAAAATACTTAGCTCTGGAACATTTCACTAAACTAAGTTGTGGGAGCTTGGCAATGTATTCACCATTTTAATTGTTACATGTATTTCATAAACATCTTAATTTGTTAAAACCTGGTAATATATCTTAGGATCATATACCATTTGTGTATATACTGTTATTATCATAGAGTTGGTACTATTCTGGTATTTTGTGTCATGTAGGGTTGTCTAAAATGTTGCCTGACCAGCCACTTCTACATCTGTCCAAATCCACATGGGTCTGAACCGGACAATAGAGGGTAAAAACTTTAACTTAAGGAGATTTTCCTCTGAAATTCAGATAGAGAAAACATAACATAAAGATGAAAATGAACATCGCCTGTCTGAACCGAAACTGAAAGGTGTCTAAAAAGATATAAAGATATCTTTGCAAGTACTGTATGCTTCAAACTGAGCTTTTTTGAGTCAAAACAGACCTTATATACCCAGGAAACACTATCAAAAAGCTGAAAAAGTTGGTTTAGCATAATATGTGTCTTTAACTTAAGACGGTCCAACCACAGCCTCTAATTTGTATCACGTGTCTCTCAAAATGCATCTCCTCTTGAAAATTCACACAACATTCAGAACAAAATACAGTATATAACTTCTTTAACCAGAAATAAGCAATAGTTTGGTGTCTTTTCCCCTTTTTTAATATGTAACTAGCTCTGAAATGTGGGAAACTAGATAAAGCTCCACATCAGCTCGTCTTTGTGTGTGTGTGTTTGTGGCTGGACAGGTAAACTAAAACTAGAATGGAAACAAGATAATTGTTTTCAAGAATTACCTTCTATATCAGAACTAGTACAAGTCCAGTCATTAAAGAAAGTACTATTATTTTGTGCATTCTATGGTATAAATAATGGTTTAATATATATTCAATTTCAGTGCCATGCGTTGTGTACTGCATCGAATCGAGCAGGACCGTGTGATTCCCAGCCCTACTGTGCGGCGAGGAAGAGGAGAATGAGAACGAGGAGGAAGAGGAGGGGGAGACGCTGAAGAGAAAAGGTGAGAGGAGGAGTGTGAGGAGCAGGATGTGTGACAAAAGATTGAAGATCACATGCACAAGGCAGAGATGACATTAGAGAACTGAAGAGACAAGATGGCTACGGCTGCATCAACTAACGATACAGTGATATAATGTATACTAGTAATCGGGCTCAATAAATATGAAAAACATGGGTCTAACTAATTGTGATTTTGTGTATTATTGCAATTGTGGCTAGATTTGTGGTTTGCGATCAACATCTGGTTAAAATTTGGCTCACAGTGCAGATTTTGGACTATTCCTGCAGCATCTACATTTGAAAGAAGACTGAAAAAACTGCTAAATTAATACTAGAGTCACATGCATTTCAGAACATATTTATTGAAATCTAAACTGCAGAGTAAAAACACAGAATTATAAAGTGTTTAAAAAAGCTCTATTGTGCTTGTGTCTGCTGTATAGTTATAATTTATGACCCCTTTATGTTTTAATTTGGACTTTTTTTTTTATCGCAATATTAATCTAAAACAGGGGTTACAGGAGTACAGGTATTGTTCTGAATAACTAAAATTTGATGCATTAAATGTCTATTATTATTGTAAATCTAACATTTTGATGCCTGACTTTGTGGTCTCATAAATAAATAATATTTTATGTTGTTTTACCTAACTGTACCCCATCTAAGTTTTGCTGTAGCTCTTATGTTTACTTTATTTTTTGTGACTGCTAAAATGAATAACTCTATGAAATTTTAGTTTTGTAAAGGTAGCTCACCCGAGGAAAAAGTTTGGAGACCATTGATCTAAAACAATGTAATAAAATAAACAAGTCGAGTAGGAATGGATTCTTCTTTTTCATTTGTACCATTTTTTTCATTTGTACCTTGCATCTTGAAAAAAGCGATTTAAGATTGCTCAAACATGCACAAATCACTCCAAATTCAACTTAAAGAGACAGTGTGGAATTTTGGACATAGGACCTCATTTCTTAGAGTGTTGGAGATGTGTGGAGACAGTTTTTTTAAAATATTCCATCCAGTCCTTGTATTTGCAGAGGTCGCTGGTGCTAGACTAGTGCATGTCAATGGCCATAGTTATCCTGCCACTAAAAACACCCACTTACCCACTCCACAAAACACCTGAAGCAAATCTATTATTATGCCAGACTGTCGATGTAAATGTCTGTGTTGATAGAATAATGTTTGAAATAAAACTAACCTTGCATTGCATGAATCGTCGCATGTTGAGGGACTATTTTCTCATAGATCACTCCGCCGCTGCCAAACTTTCTATCAGGAAGTACAACTCACTGCTGCTCAGGCATAAATCCTTCAAATGCAAGGTTGGTTTTCCTTCTAAAATTATTCTATCAATACAGAAAAACATTTACATCGACAGTCTAATGTAATAATTGTTTTGCTTCGGGTGTTTTGTGGAGTGGGTAAGACTGTTTTTAGTGGCAGGATAACTATGGCCATTGACATGCACTAGTCTAGCACCAGTGACCTCTGTAAATACAAGGACTGGATGGAATATTTAAAAAAGTGTCTCCACACAAAATTCCAAACTGTCCCTTTAAGGTAAGTAAATGGTGTGGGGACATAATGTGGTTAAAAGCTCAGGCATGTTAGTCTTGATTTAATACACAGGAGTTTACCATTTCTGTATTACAAAATATATCAACATCTCATCTTGTGTTTCTGCGTGTCTCATCACAACATCACTGTCTATGTGTTTCTTATTGTAACAACCAAAATAAACGTTAATGAAGAAAAATTAAATCCAAAATCCTTGGTAAACGTACCCGGTCTTGAGGTTGATAATGGCCTCCTCCACCCTCCTCTGGTTGTACTTGCCCATGTACTGGTGCATGTCTGGGTAGTTGGAACGGATATTCTTCTCGGTGCTCCCGTTGGGCACAGTGCCAAACTTGAGAGGCGGGTACTGCTCCTCTGGATGCTGAAACTGAGGGGCAAAGAGAGGCATGAAAGAGAGAGAGACACACCCGACTGTGCAACAATCTGCCTGACCCATTTCTGTCCACGGACAACACAAACTACCAACACTTTCCTCAAACATTTCAAAAGACAAAATACTAGAACTCAAGATAAGACAGAAGTTTTAAAGGTATGCAACATTAAAAGGCCCGTACTACTCTATTTTCTGATCTACTGTATGTTATAATGTTGTTTCCACATCAAAAACATACCAGAAGTTGTGTTTTGTTTCATTCACACATGTTTAACACACAAACCCTGCATAGTTAGTCTGAGTTCTTCTCTAAAACCGAAAACACTCTGTTCCACCTTCCACCAAGAGTTAATTTTGTGTAATATTTTTTGTGGACCTTTAAACTATAATAATCTTACAAAAAGATGCAAAATAAATGAAGATCAGAAACTTACGGTGTAATCTTCTACAAAAGGGAACAAAGTGGATATTAGTGCACTTTTATGTTTAATTGTGTAGAACTCAAATCAAGCATGGAAACCTTTATGTTATTGGGAAAATGTGGCAGACGTCCAAAGAGATGAATTAGCAAAAACAAAAAGAAAAAGTAAACAATGAGCTGTGGAACCACCCACCGCTAAAGACATTCATCACACAAATCTCCACTGGTTTAACATTAGTATCAAGTGTCATGATACAATCCTCATCTCTCTTGTCTGTTCCACATCTGTGAAATATTCAGGTTATTTATAGGTTTCAATCAGATTACTGTTCCCTGATATGGACACCATTTTGAGACTTTTAAAGGTCCTACATTACGCAAAATTGACTCTTATGAGCTTTAAGCCATTTTATAAAGCTGTTACCTCATTTAAACATGCATGTTGAGTTGTGTTTTGCTTTATTCACACGTTTTGATTAATCCTGCATTATTAGGTTGTCTACATCTCCAAATCTCAAAAAAAGCTGTATTCCACCATGTGATGTTAAAAAGCAAGATTTTAAGTTAACAGCTACCTTTTACCTTTTGTTCATTAGAAATAGTCATATTCCAGGGCTAAAATTACCTAAATGATTCAATTGGAGTTTAAAAACACAGTGGTGCACAGTGTATTGCCACATGACATCACAAGGTGGAAGAGTGGTTTTAATTTGAAAAAAACAAAACAAAAAAAAACAAAACCTCAGCCTAATTATGCAACATTTGTGGTTAAACATGTGTTAACGAAACAAAAAACTCAAAAAAGTGCTTCTGATGAGGAAACAATATTATATCATGGATCAGAAAATTGTGTACTATGGGCCCTTTAACCATTCACAACAAATACATATATAAGTCAGATGCATGGATAGATATATAGATGTATAAAATATAGCTAGACCATAGATAGGTGTTAAAGAAATTCTGTTTCTGTGCTGTACTTAGGCACTTACTGTCAGCTCAACTCTTGTTATCTTGGCCAGCATCATCAGAGGTATAATACTCCTTACAAGAGAAGCATAGCCAGATTGGACAGTACTACACTGGAATGGAAAACACTATCACAGTGTCTCTAGATGTTGGGTCCCGTATTGATGATTTTGTATTAGAACTCCAGAGTCAGCCTCTCGGGCTACAACTATTTATTGTACAATAATAGGCCTATTATATTTTGTTTGGTTTAAATTACTATGGCAAGCTTCCTACTCCCCACTGCTATTATAAATAAGACATTATTGAGTATAAAAACACTTTTATCTGTTTAATATTAAACAACATAGTTTTAAATCAAGGCTTTAATTCCTCCAGTGCTTTCTCTTTAGAATCAGTATTCAGGTCGCACCTTTTTGTCAGAGAGGCCGGACACAGTGTCGATGTACTCCTCCTGGATCATAAAGGCGGCCAGGTTGGCAGTGTAAGAGGCCAGGAATATGACAGCGAAGAAGGCCCAGATCAGAACCATGATCTTACTGGTGGTTCCTCGGGGGTTCTCCACTGGCACCGAGTTATTGAAGACAATGGCCCACAGCAGCCAAACTGACTTTCCTATAGTAAAGGTCGACCCTCCAGTCTCTGTAACAATGGAAGTCAAAAGAACAGGGCATTCAGAGTCAGTTAAATGAATTTTTAGAAAAGCTTTAAAGGTGCACTATGTAACTTTTCTGATACTATACATTCTCTCCATGGATATGTTATTCCTTGACCTGCAATGTTCCACAATTTGGCATTAGACTAATCAATCTCCTTGGAGACAAGTGTTGTGTCTGTCTGAATCTTTGATCAGTCTGACCAAAATAAGCAGTTAACGTCATCAGGCCAAGTTACAAATTAGATGTGTAGAGAGGCGAGTCCACTCACAGTAAGACAGCAGGTTTTTAAAGGTATAAATCTGAATTAAATAAGTGGTAGAGGGTTAGATGGAGGGTTAATGCCACACTGTGAAACATTCCCAGCGAAAAAAGTTATATAGTGCACCTTAAAGTTGATTTAAAGGTGGATTATTACTTATTACTCAATACACTGAAACCTACTAACCTTATCCAAATATAACCCTGTGAGCTTTTAACTACCCACAGGGAATGAAAGTCTGAGGTCTGAGAGGTTTTTGATAATAATTACATTTTGTTCAGAACAAGTCTGAAGAAACAAACTTTAAGAACTGCAACTGAAGCAAATCCAAGCTGCAAACTTGAACATAGTGACTACAAGTGGGGCTTGCAGGTGAGTGTGCACAAAACCTCATCAATGAAACAATCTATTGCAAGATTGATTTGTATTTACTACTTCACTTAATAACGTAATCAATGCATCCATTTGTTCAGTGCGCCTCAGTGGTCACAAAGATTTATGGGAGACAAGACAACCATAAACTAATAAATGAAAAAGAGGAAAGCTCTAATTTGTTTAGAAAAGACAGATTATAACTAAATACCATAAAAAGCATAATCTGTTGGACACATAAAGTAGTAATTTACGTTTTGTTGATTTTAAAACCAAAGTATAGATCAAAAGCGACTTTATAGTAGAAACAGGTGCATTGACCATTCTAAACACCTCTCAGTCTCAACAAAACACCATGCTGCTATAGAAAAGCTCACACAAAATAAAACTTTGAGAGGCCGCTGCACCCATTTTTTCCAAGTTGAGCAAAATGTATTTTCTATTTTCCCACTATAGAACAGGAATACACTTTAACAGGACAGAGAAGCTTTCCTTCCATTGATTTCTAGGTTAGAGTGATAAAGTTAAAAGTTAAGGTTAGGCCAGCAGCTGTTTTGTCTATGGTCACATTAAAACACTGTTCTCAAAACTACTGAAACAACCTTGTTGGCAACGACTGCAATCCCTTTTATCCTGAGATGGGTCGTGGTGAAAAAAGAGAAAAGAAAAGAAATTGTAAACATGTCCCATTGTTTTCACTCAGCCTTGGAGCCGGAAGCGAGAAATGTGCTAAGAGTTAACAATCCTGTGCTAAGCATTGTAACAGGACTTCACTTTTGTCAGTCTGCAGGTTTTTGCCAGGCTGCTGGCTGTTGTATTATGTGAAACTATAAAACTCACTTTTGCCTCAGTGTGGGACTAAAGAACTCACTTGTGCCGGGATGGGGGACTACAGAACTCACTTTTGTCTCTGTGTGGGACTACAGAACAAAATTTTGCCTCTGTGTAGAACTATAAAATTCACTTTTGCCTCTGTGTGAGACTACAGAACTCACTTTTGCTTCTGTGTGGGACTATAGGACTCACTTTTGCCTCCGTGTGGGACTATAGGACTCACTTTTGCCTCCGTGTGGGACTATAGGACTCACTTTTGCCTCCGTGTGGGACTATAGGACTCACTTTTGCCTCCGTGTGGGACTATAGGACTCACTTTTGCCGGTCTGCAGGCTGCGGTTGTAGCCCACAGGACTGAAGAACTCAAAGATGAAGACGGTCACAGCCACAACGGTCAGACACATGACGAACATCATCACCCACACAGCCGGACTGTAGGGCTCTGAGGGAGAACAGGGCCACAGCAAACAGACCATTATTATATCAAGATTTATTGAATTTATTTATTTACTGAAAAACAACAAAATTATTGCATAACTACAATAATTGCACAAATAAGTCTACTGATCAACAAATGGTAAAAAAAAAAATCTCATTATGGCTCCGTATATACTCTACGTACTTTTATCTCCACTGCCATCTGCTTGTCTCCATGGAGATATTGTTTGCCTAGAATAATCCATAGTATAGCATTACATGTGCACATCTCTGGAGGGCAAGCAGGTGGTTTTAGTGGTTAAAAGGGTTCTTAAGATTACCATGTTTTAGGATTAGTGTGTCAAGTGTGTCAGTAATGCACGCTGTTTTTATAATATAACGTTTGGCACAATATTTGCAGTAACAGAATTTAACATTTCAAATGACCTTATTAAGGCAGTCCGACAAAATCATCATAAAAAACAAAATGGTGCATAGAGTAAAAACTAACAGTCTGTAAAGACTTTCCTTTAAAAGTGTTGTTTTCCCATAATGGTTTCAGTGCAGCATCGTCCAATAACCCACTGGAGCTTTGTGTTTGCTGACGGAGTGAAACTTTAAGTTGTGAAGACGAGAACAACTAGAAAAAGTAATGGGTAATCTAGATGTAGGACGAGCAGCCAAAGACAGCAGCCATTTATGCAAACTCGACATTTCTCTTCAGCATATTGAATTGGATTTGGGCATAGCTGAGTCGCCTTGCACAAATGGGACCACTTACCTAAGAAGGCGGATGGTGAAACAGTGCCGTTGCTACGGGAGACCATAACACTGATTCCTGTCTCCACGAAAGGAACAGAGAAATCCACGACTTCTGACCTCTCCTCGTTGATCGTCAGGGATCCAATGGCCATGTCCGCTCGTTTGTACACGACCTGAAGGGAATTCAAACCAATATGCAGTGAAATAAGGGCACATTAGGAAATATATCTTACTTCTTACTGGCATTTTATCATGATCAAGATTCAAGTTCACAGAGTGCAACCTGAAGATGTCATTTAAGAGAAGACTGAAATAACTGTTTAACCAATATGAGAATCAGGCATTTCAGAACATGTAAAAGTTAAAAATAAAAGGTTTTGGGTTCGATCGATCCTCGGGTTGCCCGGGCCTTTCTGTGTGGAGTTTGCATGTTTCTCCTCTTGTCTGGATGGGATTCCTCCGGACGCTCCAGTTTCCCCCATCAACCCAAAACATGCTACATAGATCTCCCGGAAGAACAGTTGATAGCTAAGGTCAATTAAATACAATCAATCAATGAACCTGCCCAAGGGACTACACGTGGAAATTAGCACTGCTGCTACAACCTGGTACAATGCATCTCTCCTGTTAAGGTTAATGTAAAAATTGTGCGCTGTCCCTGTCTCATTAAATAAATAAATAAATAAATAAATAAAACCCCATAGAGAAGCTGGAATATCTTCTTGGTTTATAGTATTTCCTAAGAGCAACTGCTCTGTGTATAATTTCTAATGTTTTTGTAATTATTTTATTGACTATTTTCTTCCAATATTGTTGTTTCGATTGAATGTTGAAAAGTAAAAGAAACGGGCTACATTAAATGTCCAAACAGGCGACTTATGGATACCTTTTATTGCTGGTGCTGACTGTTTTTCATCTCTTAAAACTTGAGAAATACTAATTGTTCAGAGAGACACGATCATTCAGTCAACAATAAAATATCCTCATTAGTGTTCAATAATGGTCAAATTCACCTTTATTTTGTGATTTATAAATAGTGTCTATTGACTTGGGTCGCGAAGGTTTGTGACTTTTAAAATATGGGTCCCCTTAAAAACTGTTTGGGAAACACTGTTCTCCAGAAACATGTCTCAAGAGGTTTTAGATGTCATCCATGCATGTTTTAGTAATTTAGCAATCCTCCTATTCAAATCCTACTTACGGCTGGCAGTACGATTCTGTCCAATGTTTAACCCACAAGCCAACGTCACTCATACTCATTTAACATTTACAAAAGGATCAAAACTAACATAGTGATCTAAAAAAGTAATGTATTAGCAGTGAATACCCCATAGAAGTGTAATACCCTCTCTTTAATAAGACCCCATGGAGAATCAGGCATTTCAGAACATGTAAAAGTTAAAAATAAAAGGTTTTCCATAATAAAACCCCATGGAGAAGCTGGAATATCTTCTTGGTTTATAGTATTTCCTGAATAAATGCTTCCTTTGAAATAGTATAACTTTGACTTAACATAAAATTTTGGTTTTGTAATAGATGCTGCAACCCTACTGAAGAACTACAATCATGTAATAATAAAATCTGTTTAAAATAAAAAAAATAAAAAATGAGTATAGCATATAAGGTCATATTCCTGCTCTTTTATGGTTCATTTTACAATCCATCCTTTTTTGTGCAACATCTGAACCTCGACTGCACATCTACTGGCACCTTTTAGCACATTTTGATGCATTAGCAAATACTGACTGAGCATATAATTATTGCGATAATCCAAAACATACCAATCTCTACCCTGCAATCACTCTCCAAACAAGATACCGACCAACCTAGATACAAAACAAATTATCCAGGAAAGCCTATAGAAAACGCTATGGAAGAAAAAGTGCTGCGTCTGCTGATTGTACAAGTGAAGAGTTAATCTACATTAGACATACGTGTGCTTCAGAGGAAAATAAAGTAAAACAGAAGGCAGCTGCTCTGTGGATTACCCGATTTTGAAAACAACTTCTTCTTTAACCTTTTGCGTGTGAAAATAGACTGGATGGACAGCACCGGGCCAAACCAGGATATAAATAATAGTGCAGAGGATATTATGACAAGCGGCGTGTGACAGTTGGATTCTGGGACAGTGACCAAAAAGGACTCTTGGGAAGAAGTCTGTGCTAAAATGATTGTATCTTAACCAACAGAAAACAATTAACTTGAAGCATAGGGCTGTAGAAATATTGATTTATTTATCTACTACAGTAGTATAATTGCCCATTCGATAGACCTTAGGCTGGGTATCCTCTTAACAGAATGACTATCCCCGACTGGAGTCCCAAGATTAAATACAGTTTGGACATTCAATAATCCTATATTTATAAACAGGCAATAATGTCTTTTCTAATTGCATTAAGATAAATATACAATATATACACTATTTATCTGAACTATGGACAGGGACCAAGCCAGGGCTGCATAATGTTGGAATACATGAAATAAATAAATGAATAAATTAGTATTTGAGAGAAAACTAGAATGCACTACCTAGTGCCTTTGCTCAATTTCATTTCTGTCCAACAATTAGGTCAGGAATCAGAATACACTAGACAGTTCACAAAAAACATTCAACATTCTGTGATGTCAGCGATTCCCACGATCAAGGATTTAAAGCCAGAACAAAGAGAATGTTTGGTGAATTTTATCAAGAGGAAAGACGTTATTGCCCTTCTTCCTACAGGATTTGGGAAAAGCTTAATATAGAAGTTAGCCCCAGTAGCAGCGCATTACATACATCACGACCAAATAGCAGTGGTTAAATAAAAAAAAAAAGTACTCGCCTACCGTCAAGCGAATGAATTCTAATGCTGCGAAGTCAGACAGTTTCTACGACGTGAAGCTGGCTGATGAATCAGGTTAAATAAAAATTGCTACTAATACAAAAATCACAGTTTCATGACATACTAAGTCAAATCTACAGGCTTAGCAGGTTTTATGCTAATAGAGAGGATATTATACAAAATTTACTTTTTGAAGCTTTCTACCACACTGTTTCTCAAAGACTGGGTCGCCAACCTCAGGTGGGTGGCAAGAGATTTTTTTTGGGTTGCCTTGTCGACCCAATCGATCTGCATGTAGGTCTGAAATATACAGTTCTGACACAAGTTGAAATGTCAAGACATGTTTTGTATAATTTCTAATCTTTTTGTAATTATTTAATTGACTGTTTTGTTCCAGTATTGCTGGTTCAATTCAATGTTGAAAAGAAAAAGAAACGGGCTACATTTAATGTCCAAATAGGCGACTTATGTATATGTTTTATTGCTGGTTCAATGTTTTTCATTGTTTAAAACTTGAGTAATACTAACTGTTCAGAGAGACACTATCACTCAGTCAACAATAAAATATCCTCATTAATGTTCAATAATGGACAAATCCACCTTTATTTTCGATTTATGAATAATGTCTATTGACTTGGGTCACGAAGGTTTGTGACTTTTCAAATATGGGTCCCCTTAAAAAAAGTTTGGGAAACACTGTTCTACCATGTTATAACATTGTTCCCTCTTCAAAAACATGCCTGGAGAGGATTTCGATGTCGTCCATGAATATTTTAGTAATTTAGCATTATCTCCTGGGCTCTATTCAAACTCTTCTTACGGTTGGGAGTACGATTCTGTCCAATGCTTAACCCACAAGCCCCACCCATGCTCATTTAACATTTAGAAAAGAATAAAAGCTAACATAGTGATCTAAATAAGTAATGTATTAGCAGTGAATACCCCATAGAAGTGTAATACACCCTCTTTAATAAGACCCCATGGAGACGACATTTAGCTCTCTGCTCTGGACATTATAAATCAATGCAGCCTTCGCCAATTGTGTTCATTTAAAGCTGCGATCGCGATAATTCTAAGAGTTCAAATATCCATCTAAAATATACTTGTTTTTGTATTAGTCTGAGAGCGCCACAGTCTCCACAGTAACACAGACAAACATGCAGAGGGCACACTCCCCATGTAAATACGAATGACTAATTAACTGCATATAGCCACAACTAATCACAACATCTTGCCTTCATAAACGGCAAATGTAGCATAGCCAATGTTCCGTGCAGTATGTGAATGATAAATCTGTGTTTGCATAACTCAATTCCGTAGCTGTTTCTCCACTGGTGTTGTGCAGAAGGTTGTGGGTTCCATTAGCAGGAGCGTATGAGCATGAGTGTAACAAATGACAGCTGTCTGATTGCTGCTGGTTAAGTGGCCATAGCTCTCAGTGCGATTGATTTGACACTTTGTTTTAACTGGTCACCCGTGGCACCAGGCAGGAGCCGGGGTACAGGAGTACAGGAGGTGCGCGCCAACACTGCAGTAATGGAACGCATTTGGAGAAAAAAGCAGTAAACTAATCAGCTCTACATGATTTATGAGCATATATTTGATTTGAGATGTTTTGATCTGTTTTAATAATTCAGCAACATTAGGTAAATTTTGCTATTAGTCCATCCAGCCATTTTCTTCTACAGCAGGTAGGGACCAACCTCCGGGCCGGGGACGGGTACCGGGCTGTGGGTCGTTTGGTAGCGGGTCACAAAAGCGCAACCCCCCCCTCCGATATGCCACGTGGGCAGTCACCCTTCCATGTGTCGCGTGGACAGTCCCCCCTCCCGTACGTCACGGTTACCTTCCCCCCTTCCGTACGTTGCAATGACCGGTCCCCCCTCCTGTACGTCGCACGGGCTGCGCCATTAAACCAGACCTTAACCAGAACTAAACCAAGTCTAAACAAGGATTAAACCAGGTCTACACAAGGACTAAACCAGGTCTAAACCAGGTCTAAACAAAGACTAATCTAGGTCTAAAACAGGTTTAAAAACATCTAAAACATCGTCTAAATCCAGTCTAAAACCAGACTAAAGCAGGTCTAAAACCAGGACTTAAAACCAGGACTTACAAACATGACTAAAACAGGATTTAGCCATGACCCCCACTTCCCAATCCCCTTAGGTCCGCGAAATATTGTCGGACATAAAATTGGTCCATGGCGCAAAAACAGTGGGGGATCACTGTTCTACAAGGCTGGAACAGTCTTCCCTCACCCCAGACACTTCTTCCAGCTCCTCCAGTGGGACCCCAAAGTGTTCCCAGACCAGCAGTGAGACATAGTCCCTCCAGTGTGTCCTGGGTCGCCCCCAGTGGGACAGACCCTGGAGGATACCCATTCCTAATTATTTTATTAAAGTAACATGTTTCATTATTATAACATTTGCAACTGAAATAACATGAATTGGCAGTTCTGCTCTCGCCTCTCCAAAGCGGCATCTCACCATCACAACAAGTGGATTATCAGTTTTGTGCTTTGATTTCTGAAAAATGCCTACGCAACGATTTTGAACATTTGTGTGTCTAAATTCAGGGCAGCGGGCGAGGACAGGTGGTATGTAGCACTCAAGCTTCAAATGCAGGACAACACAAGATTACTCGAACAAGCATGAATCAAAAAAAAAATCTAAAATAACTAAGCTAATGAGGGAAAACGGCTAAGTTGATTCAGGGCAATACATCTTATTTAAGGCTAAATTAACACACAGAAATATTATGAACAATTTACATAATTGCAGTATACAAAGAGGAAATAAATCAAAACTGGGCAAAACCTCTAAAAATATGCTGAATATTAGGGATGCCTTCACCTGATACTGGTATCTGATATCATCGCCGCTAATAAAGAATTTGCTTGATCGGATATCGGTTCAGTCGATATCCTAGTTCAACTTGTAAACTAATGTAATAAGACTATTTACTGGTCATACTTGGCCTAGAAAGTCTCATATTATTTGAATTTTTATTTGTTCAAAGCTGTCCTGTAGTTACTTGTGGGATAAATAACAGCTACATAACACATTTGGATCAGGTATGTCTTTTTTTAAATGTTTTGTATAAATAAAATAAATGCTGTTTTCAGTCTTTACACTGGTATTGGCTAATGTTGGTAATTGTCAGATATTTAAAGACATAAAATCTGATGGTGAATCCCTACTAAATATTATGAAGAGGTTGGGTTTGAACAGGTCCAATTTCTATTACAGACAGTTTTAGATAAATATTCAGGTTTATTGCAATTTTCTCATCTTTATATACTATTACAATCCAATGCATGTGTTCTTTTTACATTGACATTACAAAGATTCATTAGTGCTGGGTCAGTGCTGGGTCAGACTCACCTCTCCAATCATGCCATTCCACACTCCGTCGATCTTCTTGCCATGTTTTCCGTTGGTCACGAGGTACAGGTCGTAGGTGAAGCCCACGATCTTTGCCAGTCTCTTGAGGATGTCGATGCAGAAGCCCTTACAGCACTGCTTCAGGGGGGCCACGCCTTCATGGATCGCACTGCACCAGTCACACAGGGTCACAACATGCACAGGGTCAGTATTACATAGACGGAAAGTGGTTTGGGCGAACGTTAGGGCTGTACAATTCTAGGGAAAAATGTAATTGTGATTTTAAGGACAAGTATTGTGATTGCATATAGATTTCTGATATATATTCCGAGTGCACATTGTAAACAACTCCATGAGCGTTTATATTTGAGAGAAGACTGAAATATGAACTGATAAACTAATACAAGATCACATCAACAGGTTCATAGAAGATTTTCTTTTCTCCAACCTATGTATTAAAGAGACAGGATATTTATATTTTGGTCTTTGCTGAGGACATTCTTTTATGTAAATAACTGCATCCCTCGCAATTTGATAATTGCGCCAACTCAATTGAGATTTGGATATGATTATAGGTCAGAAAATCGTAAATAATAATATCCTGTAATGTGCTTTACAGGCTTGTCAAATCCTCTCAAAGCGCTACACTATAGTCAGTATAAATTCACTCCACACTGGGGCAGACTGATGGAAGCGAGGCTGCCAATCTGCACCACTGGCCCCTCTGACCACTGCCAATCACTCATGAACACACTACTTTCATACCAGACAAATGGTTGAAGTGTCTTGCCAAAGGCCATAGAAGAATAGAACTTTGGGCAAGCGGGAATTGATCCTCCAAACTTCACTGGGGACCACTACTCTAAACTTTGAGCCACCATCTCGACTAGACTCTCTAAGACACACTTATACTTTCTTGAATAATTTCTTGGATCAGGCATCTGTACTTTATCTAAGGTATTATTTGAAAGAAGTGGTACTCTAAGAAATGGTACAACTTTTGGCTGCTCCATCGGCCTCTGGGACAGACAGACAGAGTGAGAGGCCATAAAGAGTATTGTGAACAGTCAGTGACAGTGATGGACTGGAGCAGGAGAGGTGTCGTCATCCTTTGAGAGGCTGCTGAACCAGAAGCTTTACTCTGCCTGACTCACTCATCCTCAGAGGGGACTGGATATTGATCAGGGCTGCACCGAAGAGGCCACAGTTTTGACAAGTGATTTATGTCAGTGCCATTGGTAAGCATCATGAAGACTCCATTCATTATGTTGTCCTTTGTCCTTTTATATGGACGCTCTGTGTCGGTATTGGGATGTTGCCACATAGTATTGTAGTGTTATAATTATTGCAAGGAGAAACATTATGATTTCTCAGTTATTCACAAATAGTAACAGAGAAATCCTTCATTTCACACTGCCTAATAGATCACCATTCCTCTATGACCAACTTTAAATTCAAACTTTCTGAACGATTAAGTAAAGTTAATGTGACATAAACCGCAAGATAAAATGGCACTTTACAAAGTGAACTTTCTTGGAGTAAAAGACTTACTTAAAGGGGTACTATGTAACTTTTTAGGTAGAGGGTCCAAAACCTTTTTTTTCTCCATGTAGAAGTTGTTTTACCTAAAATGTTCTACACAATGGCATAAAACGTGGAAATCTCCATGGAGACAAGTAGGTGACTACACCAAAGCAAAATAAGTAGACACAACAAAAATGCCAAGAATTTAAGAAATGGAAGAAGTTTAGATGGAATTATGGAACATTCAGGCAAAACAAAAATATTTTCATGAGAAAAACAGGTGACATACTGACTACCAGAAAGCTTACATAGTAGAACTTTAAGAACAATAGTAGACCCTCATTTGAACCAACAAAATTTGACCTTTTTTGAATAGTATTATAATAGTTATAAAAAGAATTTGATCATAATTATATTATATATAATTACAGTTACAATGCTATAAGCAAATTCAAAATTCAAACTAAATGAAAATTAGTTGGGTTATCTTAGGTCCACCCCTTCATGTCCCTGCTCTATTTATACCATCCGTTCCCTTCATCTCAGTCTTCTTCTTTATGTGCTCCTCTTTCCCTTCCATCTTTCAATATGGGGGCTTGCCAAGCTCAGAAGCCCCGAACTGACCTAAAACATCCCTTTGTGGAATATGTCTAGTTTATCCTGATCATTTCCTTCATGCATAATAAAGTCACATTTACGCTGTAGACTGAGAAATGTGAGTATTCAAACCTGGCATTGAGAGGTCTTCTGCAAGGCACGGAGTCACGGATGCAGGTCCCGGAGGCGGCGTCGGCGAGCTCCACGATGACGAAGGGCCTCTCCTCCAGAGTGACCACCCGAAGGTGCTGTGCGTCGTCAGGAGGTTTGAGGAAGGGGCCGTACCGGGACCAGGCTGGGTACCGCAGCCTCAGCACCCCGTTCTCCCACCAGCCTACCTGAGAGAACCAGGGAGAGGAGAGTCAAGCAGGGCACAGGCATCACACTGACTGCGACAGTAATCATTAAAGGTGCATTGTGTAACTTCTGGTGCTTTGTTACAGATCAGATCTAAGCGGAGGCAAACCACTCAAAGTCAGAATGCCTGTTTTTCTAGGTATTTTTGAGCTATAAAACCGCCAGTAATTTCATTCCAGGCAAAACAATGACATATCCATAGAAACAAGAAGAACCAAAAAGTTACATAGTGCACCTTTAAGATCCACAGCACCTGTTGAAATGTCTTCAGAAAAGTGTAAATTAGATACCAATACTATTTGGTCATTAAGAGGAAGTGGACACCAAATTGTGATGTTTGCGTTAAAACTAAAATATGTTCAGAACTGGGGGATCATACATTGAGCTGCCCATTGTTGGTTTGTTTATTTGCAATAAAGGCATCAAGTCCACAACATGGCTGCATAAATCTAATTTTGAACTGGATATAGGATTCTGAACAAAACAAAATAAGTTAAAATATGCAAAGTTATAATAAAAAATATGGACACTTATCATCAACATTCCCTGGGAGTACTGCTCTGTCTGAAGCTCCGTTACTCAGACCTGACTTAGTTCAGCTACAACAGGAGAGCTGATTTATGCAAAACAAAGTCCATCTCAAATTACGTTACAGTCACAAGCTAGACAGCATTAGACAGCAGATTTTCAGTTAAAAATCAGACACCTGAACAGGACGATGAACACTCAGACTGATCACAGGCTCTTGAAAATGTGTTTAATTCCATTTTGTGTTTTTTCTTGAGTTTTTGGTAGTTATTGTTAATGTTTGCATTGAGTCACCATGATAACTTCTGAACATTTCTGAACTCCCCCAGTGCAATGTGACTGTAAAATATCAATAATATAATATTACATTCTGTGCACTATTGAGTTCTTTATTTCCATCTTGTGTATTTGGCTGTTTATGTCTATGCTCCTTCTTAAAATGGGTAAAAATAACTCTTAGGGTATAACGCAATCCAAAGCAACTTTGTTTCACAAAACTACAATGAATAAATACCTCCAGGACTCAACCAAAATGAATTCTTCACTGTCACAAATTACCAGTATACATGGCAGTGGTTGTGTCTTTCATTATTTAACAGGGCATAGCTGCTCCTCACTCCATATGAGCCTCAGTCTAAATATTTATTGTTATGTGATACATGAACAATCGGCTGACAGTTCTGAGCATGTGTAAAGACCTCATGATGGATGGTAGTGGTTACTGCAAATTGATTGTATAAAAGCGTAATTGTTTTCCATGAAGAAATGGTGGGAGTAAAATGAAAGCATGCAGAGCTGATTTACATGTGCATCCATAAACAGGAGCATGGAGTTTGTGGGACCAAGCGCTGACGCAGGAAACAAACACAAGTGGATTTAACTTCTTAAAGATTTGCTGTGTCATGTGCACCAGGCTTAAGGTTTTTGTCAAGGTGCCATGACCAAAATGTGCTTGACTTGTCAATATAGCTTCTGTTGGCATTTTCTGCTTTTAACACGTTTGGCTTTATCCCGTAGTATTTGTACTGCACAGTGGATTTGATGTAGTTTGTAAACAGTGACAGCATAATGTACACAAAGAATAAGGCGCTTATGCAGACCGGTGTAAGGCTTGGCAGGCACCTCCTGTCTCCAGGCTGTGCGAGTGACACAGGAAGGTGCTACACTGACAATATTTGGAAAGCACTTCGGCCACACTTTTTTCAATAGACGCTCAGTCAAGTCACAGCGACCCACAAGAAACAGTCTCACCAGTAAACACAGCTTTTATCAGCAGCTCAAGACACACAAGAGAAAGGGCCAGAATCACACTTCATTTCACACTGGCACAATATTGTGGGAAAAACACAGGGGCAAAGCAAAGGGACAAAACCATGTTTGAAAATACTGTTGTTAATTACAGAGAGTGACTTTAGGAAATGTTCATTAAATTTTGGTAAAATCCTGGAAGCAGCTTTGTGTGTTCATGTCCAAAGGGGTAAAACCGTGCTCGTGTGGTCACTGGTCCTGAGCAGAGCTGGAGCTGCGAGCTAATGCTGCAGTGATTGTAAAGAGAACATTAAATATTCAGGGGCAGTAGCAAAGATGTGCATAATACACAGATAGAGAGGCGTCTTATCCTTATTCGGACTCTACGCAATAGGCTGTGTCCTATATAAGCTGTGTGCAATATGTGTGCTGTAGACTGTGTTCTATAGAGTGTGCTATAAGCCTGGGCTGCAAGATTAATCGCAATGACATCAAAATCACAATTTGGATGGGCACAACTGGAAATCGCAAAGGCTGCATCTTTTAAGTAGCATAGATTCCTTCATAAACTATAAAATACCCTGTCATATTCTGCATAAAGTTTAGTTTGCATTAGTCTTTCTGTCAATTCATCTGGATACATTTAAATATGCATTTTAATATTAAGTGTGCTATAGACTGTGTGCTATAGACTGTGTGCTCTAGGGTATAGACTGTGTGCTCTAGGGTATAGGCTGTGTGCTCTAGGGTATAGGCTGTGTGCTATAGGCTGTGTGCTATAGACTGTGTGCTCTAGGGTATAGGCTGTGTGCTATAGACTGTGTGCTCTAGGGTATAGGCTGTGTGCTATAGGCTGTGTGCTATAGGCTGAGTACTATAGGCTATAAATTGTGTGCTATAGGCTGTGTGCTATAGGTTGTGTGTTATAGTCTGTGTGCTATAGGCTATAAATTGTGTGCTATAGGCTGTGTGCTATAGGCTGAGTACTATAGGCTATAAATTGTGTGCTATAGGCTGTGTGCTATAGGCTGAGTACTATAGGCTATAAATTGTGTGCTATAGGCTGTGTGCTATAGGCTGAGTACTATAGGCTATAGGCTATAAATTGTGTGCTATAGACTGTGTGCTATAGGTTGTGTGTTATAGTCTGTGTGCTTTAGGCTACAGATTGTGTGCTGTAGGTTGTGTGCTATAGTCTGTGTGTTATAGTCTGTGTGCTATAGGCTACAGATTGTGTGCTGTAGGTTGTGTGCTGTATGTTGACTGCTACAGATTGTGTGCTATAGTCTGTGTGCTGTAGGTTGTGTGCTATAGTCTGTGTGTTATAGACTGTGTGCTATAGGTTGTGTGCTACAGGCTGTGTGCTTAGGCTGTAGGTTGTGTGCTGTAGTCTGGGTGCTATAGGTTGTGTGCTAAAGGCTATAGGCTGTGTGCAGTATGTGTACAGGCGATGTAAGGAAACGTGTAAAGCTCACGATAGCACTCACACATGTGGTTGTGTGTGTTTGTGTGGGCGGTTTCTGTACCCCAGGTTAGCAGAGAGTCGGAGGACCAGCTTCTAATTGAAAGGGATTTGTGGGATAAGGCAGAAGTCAGCTCGCTGCAGCACGCTGTGACTGGACTCTGGTGAGCTGTTAAGCCCAGCAGGAGGCTGAGAAGCTCCAATGTGTGGATCCACTGTATCTATACTGTGTGCGTGTGTGTGTGTACGTGTGTGTACGTGTGGTTATGCGGAGAGGGAGGGGCTGAGTGTCAGAGTATGGTGTGCAGAAAAGCAGCGCCGCCATGTCTTCTGACGCTGACAAGTGTAAAATCCTGGAGTCTTAAAGGGAAGGCATTTTGAGCAGGTGACAACAGCCTTATAAAGCAGCACTTTACAGAATGTGCAAGACAAGCCACAGCAACTGGTGCACAACAAAATATATTATTTTACTCTATACCACCCATCTGACAAACCAGTACAAGACTCACGTTTCAGAACATGTTTGTACAGATCTAAACTACAGGGTTAGCAGTTTTTATGCAGAAAAAGAGAGGATATTTAGTTGTTTGAAAAGGAAATTATGGTATTCAAAATAGTCAGCCTCCATTCATATTGCGATTTCGATTTGATTACGATTCATCCTACAGTCCTAAACTACAGTACACAGTCTAAACACCACATGCTATCTACTATACCTTCAACTACTCTATTTATTTTAACTGATCATCAATTTTCCATGGAGTCCTTGTCCGCAGCCCCCCACAGCAGAAGTATCCTCTGTGGCAGCTCAGCGGGGGCATAACAGAGTGGTCAAATGGTCATGGTGAGCGCACATGGCCTGCAGCGGTGGAGTGAGGCATACATCAGCGAGGCTCTGACCTGCCTGTCCCTGACTGCTTCAGAAGAACATCATGGTACAGGAGCACATGTTCACACTCACACTCACATGGACCGCTCTGCTTAAATCAGCACAAACCCTGCTCTCATTTACAATAAAAGCCTTTTGTTCCTGCAGCAGCCCATAAATGAGTCTACAGCTACATCCAATAAATATATGCTTCATGTAATGCATAGGAGCCTTCACACATACACACACACAAGTTGATTTCCTAGGCTTTTCTCGAATTAGATTAATTTAACCACTGTTTCTCATAGATTCTGGGGACACTCTGGTGGCACAAATAATTATGATCTGAATCATTTCATTTTACACAATTTATGCAGTAGAAATGACGTTTATTGCCTGTATTTAATATTTAAAAGGGGGGTATTTTACTTCTACGGGGTATTAACTGCAAACACACACCATATTTAGATCGCCATGATACATTTTATCGTTTTGACACTGTTGGGCAAGTTATTTCAAAACTGTAATGCGTTATTTTATTACTTATTACTGTCATTTCAAAGTAATTTGTTACATTACAATATTACTGCATTTAAAATCTAAGGCATTACACGACTATTGCATTACTTTTACGTTACGCTCACCAAAATCGCTGACAGTCAAATAACAATCAGTAGTGAAAATGCCGAACTTTTGCAACGTACTGTATATGGACTAAACCAGGACTAAACCAGAACTGAAGCAGAGCTGAACCACATCTAAACCAGGACTAATTTTGGACTAGGACTTGGAATCTAGGACCACCTCTGTGAGAACCTCGAGCCCATGAAGCAGGATTTCCGCAAAGCACGATCGGGTGTCCATTGCGATTAGTCCTGTGCAGCGCCGAGCTCTGCACTTGTCCTTCCGCCCACGGTTACACGGGTGCACATTCAGAAATGTAACTTTGCGTTTCACCACTGCTGATCACTGCTGATTTTAGCGAATTTGTATGAAGAAAAACTAAAAACCCACCACTTCAATTCAAGTTAAAAATGCATTATAATGCTCATTACTGACATTTGTACCAAGTAAAATATTACAATTTTTTTCCCTGTAATGCTGAACATTACTGCGTCACAGCAAAAAGAAATGCATTACTGTAATTTGTTATGTTTATAACGCATTAATCCCAACACTGTGTTTTGAAGGTGCTATATTTACTGAAAACAACATATTAACATGTTTAACAAGTTTAGCTTTCGTTTTTGGCGCTCCTGAGTCTCATCTCCCTTTGCTCTCCTCCTTCAGATCATCATGCATCTCACTAATAAATCTACTGCATATCCCATCAGCTTTGTCAAGTTGTGTACAGTATCACGTTTTTACAAATAAAAAAATAAATAAGGAGAATTTGAATTGTCGTATGGGAGCCTTGGATGACGTAGGCTTGGGGGCTGAGCATTGCACAGAATCTTACAGCGAATCGAACAGGGCCCCAGAGAGATAGCTAAATTACTGAAACCTGCATGGATGACTTTAAACTATTACGGGCCACCATAGTCTCCTCTGTTAATGGGAAACACTGATTTAACCATAGCCACTACTTGTCTAACCTTGACATAAACCCTAACCTTAACCTATTTTTATCCTCATCTGAATTTTAAATTATATAGCTGATCTAATAATAAAGCATTTACCTCACGGGGACCTGATTTTTCTGTCCATAAGGGAGCAACGTCCCCTACACATATTCAGACTTTAGGAACCAGATGTAAAAAATACCTGCCCACCACATCAACACTGGGGCTAAATTCGGAATAAATACAGGACTAAACCAAGGCATACACCAGGACTAAACCAGGATCAAACCAGGACTAAAGCAGAATCAAACCAGACCTAAACTAGGATCAAAGCAGGACCAAATCAGGACCAAAAGAGGATCAAACCAGGACTAAACCAGGGCTGAAACAGGATCAAATCAACTCTACATCAGGGCTAAACTCTGCTCAAACCAGGACAAGAGAGACCCACAGAGAGCTGGAAATGTTTAGATGGATGATATAAAACAAAAACATTTATAAATTCCTTACATCTTCCCATCCACGTCCAGGCGTCCAGGAAATAACATCCAGGAATGGGTTAGCCAGGTATCCGTCGCTGTTGAAGGAGTAGTCCCTGCCACCGAGCGTGATGTTGCTAAAATACCTGTGGGCAATGGAGCAAGATGAATGACAGCGAGTAAATACACGTTCAATAGACTCATTATATACACACTTTATTGATTTGGTTCTATGATTTCATGTCAGAGTACCATGCGTCAGAAAGGCTGTCAGTGCTTTTACCTGAAACAACCTTTTATTTTAGGTGCAAGGTCTGTGTTTTTTAGTCAAATCTTGTAACAAATGATTAGATTTTTCATTTTCTGCGTCTTTGAACCCTCTGCTGCAGCAGTGGATGAGAGCGCCGCACTGACTCCTTATGTCACTATTCTGACTTCACAACACAAAGCCAGACTGTGCCATGACAGATCGGCTGTAATGAAGCAGAAGCCTGTAATTACAGAGAGTGAACAGCAGGTAGCAGTACAAAAGAAAATAGTCTGTCTAATATTGCCCTCTCTCTTAAACATAAATGAACTCATTGATGTAAAAATTGCAATGCTATTTAGGAATTTTCAAGCATAAGAGGAACGACCCGGTGAATTGTGTAACAGATTGAAGATATTTGAGGACTGTTCACTGTATTCTGTCAGTTCTAACATAAAAATATATGTGGAGCATACAGTATGTGCACTGAAGAGTGCCGTAAAATGAGGTACAATGATAAGCATGGTCGCTTGGCCTACCTGTTACAGTGCACTGCTGTCTGTTTGCAAAGCCTATGAGGAATATATTAAAGCGGCTTCATTAATATACATGAGACATGCTCTGCTTGCTACAGATGCTGGGGTAATTTTGCCAACTCACAACTACACGCACCAACAACATCTATTTTGCATGGATGATAGCCAGACCCAAACTCAGATATCCCCGGTGCGCATGATCTCTGACACAGCAGCCAGATCGGCATCAATCCAGTTTGATTCTCTTTTACAAAAAAAGGCTGTCAAACTACACCGTTTTTATTTTTAACTTTTAACTTCTCACCTCATCCTGCCTCGTAGTCTCTGGGTCTGGTTGGCATCAGTCATGCAGTTGGTGACAAAATTTGGCCCTCCCGTGGTTCCATAGTCCTTGCGCATGGCCACAGCTCCGTGGGTGAGCACGGACACCCCGCGGGCGATCCTGCGCCTGGGTTCGTCCCTCCAGCCCTGCGGCCGTACGGCGAACAGCGCCCGGGGCATTGTGTCCATGCTCAGCCCGGACAGAGCGGGACCCACCGCAAACCACATGTGGGATGCGCCCGCCTGACCCGCTGCCCACGCTGCCCGGAACACAAGCTCCGCCTCCTCCTGCGAGCAGTACAGCAAACGCACCTACGGGACGGTAGGAGCAGGGAGGGGTGAGGGACACACACACACATACAGCCTAGTGAGATCAGGAGGGACAGGGACAGACAGAGATGGATACAGACCAGGATGAAACCATGGGAAAGACTCAGATCTGAATGTGTATATGTGCTGAAGGAGGCAAGAAGAGCGAGCAGTGCTCTGATAAGCTCCATGGGATTAGCCGTATGTTCAGAGAGAATCACACAGAACAAGGGCGCGTGCCAACACCAGCAAGAGGTCAGCTCCTAATGAGCCCCGGCCTGATGAAATGATTTACATTTATGAATAATAACAGTAAAACAAGACGGAGAAACTGTAACAGAGGCTCGGGCAGAAAGAGGGGGGAGGAAGGTTAGAAGCCAAGCACACCTGAGGGAAAGCAAGGCGAGAGGTTAAACTCGGACATGTGTTATTAAGAGCAGAGCAGAAAGAAAGGACCTGAGACCACAGAGGGGCTATGCCAGGGGAGGGGCCGGGGGAGAGGGACAGACGCAAAACACAGGGCACTCCTTGGAGAATGGGACCATTGGGGACAGCAGAAAAGCAAGAGTTGACAGATTTTAGTTAAACAAGGCCCTGGTGAGATGAGAGCTGAGAGCAGGTACTGTACACTATCTACTGTATAGAGCAAGATAGGCAGAAATACCAGTTATAGCAGGTGCATATAAAAAGACATCAGCGACAGTGGGTTAGCTCTGCCACAAATGCTGAGGTAAGGAAGGCTCGAGATGAGGTGCAAAATTGACCAAAGAAGGTTTTAAAGGGTTAGAGGGGAAATTGAACAGGGAAGTGAATTGACAAAAAAAAAAGAAAAAAAAAAAAGAAATGGATCCAGGGAGGAAGGGTTGTGATTGTGAGCTTAAATGCTGACTGAAACAAAACACACTATAAGTAAAAAGAGTAAAATAAAGGCAAGAAAAATGGGTCTGTGAGGAGATGAGGAAGAAATAAGAATTAAAGGACACAGAAGAAGAGGGGGGAGGAGGCTGAGAGCACATTTTAAGAACGATGGCTTCATTGAATTTTGAACCGTAATGGCTTGGCAAAACAATCCAACCCGTATGCCAATAAAGCTCCAGTGAATTAGAAGGGGGTAGAGTGACAGAGGGAGGGGAGCTCTTAAGACACAGACACACACAACATTTAAAAACAGGAAATGAAGAAAAACAGACAAATGCAACTGCACAAGTAGAAACACAGAGGACTTAAAGCATGTATTAAAGGGACTACATCTGGGTTTCAGACGGAAGGAGAATAGCACCGTTGCCATGACAGATAGCACTAGTTTGCATCTGACTTCACAATATTTTATAACGCCTGTAGTTTAAAATGAAAGGACAGGTTAGATTTCTATACTAAGAATTGGCTGCAGATTTTTTTTAACCCTAGTTTAAGCAATAAGATAAATACGGTGAGTTTATAGAGCTAAATCCTAACAAATAATGATAAGATTCAATGTTTATGGATCGTAAGTTTGGATATAAATGGACACCTAAATCTCCAAAATATATTCTATTGAAATGACAACATAATGAAATTGTGAACGGAACACAACTTATACTCTAAACTAAATATTAAACTTTTTCATATTCAAAATTGTCCATGAATATTGTGCTTTAACGAGGCTTTTCAAACAATAATGAGCATCTTGTTTGTTCCTGTGGTATAATTTGAATAATGTATCCGTCACGAAAATACTGCATAGCCCTAATAATCATGAAATTTATCAAAATACCAGTAGAAGTAAGCTAAGTAAGATTAAAAAAATAACACAGTGGTGGTAATTTGAGTTCTGGCATAAACAGAACAAGTCTAGTGAAGTTGTATAGACTTTAAAAACACAGAGGAGCTTCATGGATTACAACATGCAGACAATAAGACAACATGATGCAGACAGTTTGGACACAATTAGCAGCATTACTAAAACATGCTTCAATGAAATGCAGATATGTTTTTAATGAAGACAAAAGGCATTATTATAACATGCTTTAAAGCTACAAAAAGCCAAAGTCAAAGTCAAATTTTAATGGTGCTGAAGATTCAGTCATTTCTAATCATCAGTGATCAGCTCGGGGCTTTTGAATCGAGAGGTCTACAGCCAAAATTTGACAGGAAAAGCATGTGGTCTGAATTTCAGATTTGACTTTTTTGTGTTAAACTCTTTCTTGTTAATTTAAATTAATGTTAAAAGGTGCACCACAGAGATGCTGTTTCTTTGCCAGGAATTTTTCACAGTACAATACTAAAGTTACCTATTTCCATGGAGACAAGCAACAAGCCAATTTACAAGTCGGGTTTGTGGAGAGGTGGGCCCGCTTACAGTAGAATGCATATTTTTCAAGGTATTATTTCATAGTTAAAAAAATGCCTATAACACAATAATAAGCAAAGTTTAATGCTATAGTGTGGTAGCCTGATTCGTCAGCGGGTTTTACTTTGTGGAAACCGTCTGACCTTGCAGACAGGTACTTTTTTAATTTAACCAATCACTGCTATTTGGTCGTGACATATGTAATGCGCCACTAACGGGGCTAACTGGTATATTAAGCTTTTCCCAAATCCCGTAGAAAAAAGGGCAATAACATTTTTACCCTTGATAAAATTCACCAAACATTCTCTTTGTTCTGGCTTTAAATCCTCGACCTCGGGAATTGTTGCCAACACAGAATGTATGGCTCTTTGCTGATTGGCTGGTGCCCGAATTTTCACTTCCGGGGTTCTTGCAAACCGTCTATTGTATTCTGATTCCTGACCTAGTCGCTGGAGAGAAATGAAATTGAGCGGAGGCACTAGGTAGTGCAAGCCTGGCTAATCCAACGAAATTCCAATGAAAGCAATTTTACTGATATATCTCCATGAACACATCTAGGTGCTGGATTCTAACCAGCGAAGTTACATAGTGTACCCTTAAAAGCATTTTTTGAGTGTTTTTGAAAAGAGAAAAACTCAAATCAACAAAAAAGAACAGGTTAGTGGATTTAGTTTTTGCCATATCATCCAGCCCTAATACAGTTCCTTTATTACTCCACAGAAACACAGCGAAAGTGCGCGTGATGCAAAATGCCTTAACAAAGCAATCAAAGCATTTATTAACCTCAGGAGGGAACGCACTTAAAGAAAGAAGTGATTGTTATATGGTGCAATAGGCCCACAAAGCGCCGCACTGCACACACACAAGCGTTCTATTAGCGGTGACACTGGCAAAGAGGAGGTTAAGGAATCCAATACATGCACTAGCTAATCGACTAGCGCGCAGGCACACACAGGGCTGCAGTGGCCATGCTGAGACATAAGCAATGACATTGAGACCGAGATTAAACCAAGCCAGGGAAAACAGAGGGGTCTTGCCGTTATGGGGGAGGGGGGTGAAGATGCAGTAGTAGTCAGGATGGGCAAACGGTTACGGGGGATGAAAAGGAATATCGTCAAAGCCTAGCGAGCTCGTCTCTAGGCAAAGAATTACATAAGGTAGAGAGGATGGAGATTGAATGGAGTGGTTCATAAGGTCAAAATAGATTTAAGGAAAGGAGGACAATGGGATAAAAGATGGACTGTGTTGCAGGAGAATAGGGAACGAATGAAGGGTGTAGTCATAAAAAGGTACCAACAAGCAAGTTTGAGGGGTTAGATCAGGCAAATTGTGTGTTCAAATGCAACAAGCAAAAAACACAAATCATTCTGTCAATATGGAGTGTTTTGGTTGACTCTTGAAACATTGAAAGTCTTGAAATAGGTTGCGTTCACGTTCTAAAGTTGGGATGTTTCAGATGGAGCGTAGGGACCTATATAACTCTATTATCTATCTATTTTTGGAAGATGTCCGTGACGTCTGTTTTCACTCAAAAACTTTTGTCCAGTTGACTGAATTAAATTTTCTTTTGCTATTTTTGAAACTGAAAATCCACAAACTTTGAACCAGACTTCATGGAGATTGGGTCCACATGCACTTGCCATTTAAGCCTATGACTCAGCGTCCTTTCAGCTGACAAGAATCACATGTTTCTGTTTGAGTAATGCTACCACATTTTGAAGCTATTCTAAAAAAAAGGTTAGTTCATTTTTGCAGACAGAGAGGAAAGGCCCAGTAATTACAGAGAGCAGAGCCAGTTTCACACATCTGTATTATGAGTTGCTCTTCTGGCTCGATGTTAAACTATGGCCAGTTTAGAAATGCTGATGTATTTATTTTGAACGCAACCTATAAATTCGTAGATGATAATAAAGAGACAAAAAGCTTTACATGGTTTACCCGAGTAGAGATGAAGGGGAAATATATGGATAAAAGTTAGTTGATGTGAAGGTAAACCTATGTAAAGTCTCTAGTCTCACTGAGGCCAATAGACAGAACAGAGTTGTGTATTTTCTTGTTAGTTTCAGTGCTTTTACAGATGAGTAGGAAAAGAAGAACTGAGTGATAGAGGAGAGAGGGGAGAGAGAGATGTGGAGGTACAGAGGGAGAGACGAAGAAGGAAGGAAAAAGCTGGGTGCCACCTGTGAGAGAGCGGCCCCTGGTGGTGATGTGCAGCACTTCCTCCTGTCTCCTCCTGTCCCCCTCCCTCCCCCCTGTCTCACCTGCGCCTCGTTCTCCTTCAGCAGCCTGCGCGTGCGAGCCCCCCCTGGGTCATCGGTCACGTTCAGGATCACCACACTCTTCTTCTCCCAGCCAATGAACGAGCCGTCCGTCAGGCCCTCCACCACTGACAGGAAGTCCTGGTATCCATGGTGACGAGTCGAGACCACCGAGAAGGCGGTCCAGTCGTACTCCTCCAGCACCTCGAAGATGACCTCCAGCTGCAGCGCCGTGGACGAGCTGAACTGCAGAAAGATGGAACCTGTCTCCTGATGTGGGACAGAGCAGCAGATGGGGTTAATATTTGGCAGAGGAAGAGTGTAAAACGAGAGTGTGAGACAGCACTTTGAACTGCACCATGTTTTTCACAGTGTTGCAGCATCAAGGGGTTTGAAGTTTTACAGAACAGCACTAATGCAGCTGCAGGCCAGAGCAGCTCCCATTGTTCCAGCTTCTCTCATGACGTCCAGAAAAACACTCTCTAAAAAGTGAGTCTATTTGCAGCCCATGGTGCAAGGGTGTCTCTTCAAAGAGCACCATCAAAGAATTCCAATTTTATTTCTCAACAGGAGCTCACCTTGTTATTTGTAAGCATAAATACTTGTCTTTAAATAGTTTTCAAATGTAAGAAAATCAAACAAAATACCAAAAGTCACCTATATACTTGCTCATCTGATTACTTCCCACAGGAACATTAGAGCAAGATGGCTGCCATTTACAGATCAAACAGTGGGACTGGAGCAGCGGCCCTGACCTTCAGTCTCCCCCCTCCCTCTGGACCCTCTCTGCTCCTCTGAATAAAATCACAGGACATCACTGCACTGCGTTACTGCAACACTCTGACACCTGGCACTTTATGTTTTACTTTTCATTGCTCCCATGGGGCACACACATTTCTTAATGTCTTTATAGCTCTCGAGTTTATTTTTCCTTTTTATCCAACACATGCTTGTATCCCTCTCCCCTCACAGCCTTCTCCTACCTGAGGCATCCTCCCCAGCCCAGCTCCCCCTCCTACTGCCACTATGGGCAGTCCCGTTTGGGCCGAGACAAACTCCAGCATTGGGGCCAGTGGGCCCCAGGCCGTGCGTGGGGGCCTCTCCTCTTCATACACCAGACCCTGCAGGGGCCGTGCAGCCAGCAGCTCACACAGCTGGGACAGCACAGTCTTTGGACTACTGTCATTCACCTGCAACAGGAGGAAGGCAGGGACAGACAGAGGTCAGTGTGAGAGAGGGAACTGTGTCGTACAAAGATGTGCGCATATGTGCACAACATCTGTGTGTACATACATGCGTGTCTTACATACATGTGTGTATATGTGTTCAACATCATGTGTGTATCGTACAGACAGGGTACACGTGAAGTACATAGAAGTTAATCTGTGTTGTATACACAGGGTGCATTGTAGGTCGCTCAGTACATAAAAGTTACATGTGTGTAGTACATACAGGGCACAAGAGTATAGTACATACAGGGTTTGTGTGGAGTACATACAGGGTGCTTGTACATAGTATATACAGGGTATGTGTGCAGTACAAACATGTGTGTAGTAAATAAAGGGTACATGTGTGCTGTACATACAGGGTATGTGTGTGTAGTACATACAGGGTACGTGTGTGTAGTACATACAGGGTACGTGTGTGTAGTACATACAGGGTACGTGTGTGGTAGCACATACAGGGTACGTGTGTGGTAGTAAATACAGGGTACATGTGTGCTGTACATACAGAGTGCGTGTGAGTAGTACATACAGGGTACGTGTGTGTAGTACATACAGGGTACATGTGTGCTGTACATACAGGGTACATGTGTGCTGTACATACAGAGTGCGTGTGAGTAGTACATACAGAGTACGTGTGAGTAGTACATACAGGGTACGTGTGTGTAGTACATACAGGGTACATGTGTGCTGTACATACAGAGTGCGTGTGAGTAGTACATACAGAGTGCGTGTGAGTAGTACATACAGGGTACGTGTGTGTAGTACATACAGGGTACATGTGTGCTGTACATACAGAGTGCGTGTGAGTAGTACATACAGAGTGCGTGTGAGTAGTACATACAGGGTACGTGTGTGTAGTACATACAGGGTACGTGTGTGTAGTACATACAGGGTACGTGTGTGTAGTACATACAGGGTACGTGTGTGTAGTACATACAGGGTACGTGTGTGGTAGTAAATACAGGGTACATGTGTGCTGTACATACAGGGTATGTGTGTGTAGTACATACAGGGTACGTGTGTGTAGTACATACAGGGTACGTGTGTGTAGTACATACAGGGTACGTGTGTGGTAGTACATACAGGGTACGTGTGTGTAGTACATACAGGGTACGTGTGTGTAGTACATACAGGGTACGTGTGTGTAGTACATACAGGGTACGTGTGTGTAGTACATACAGGGTACGTGTGTGTAGTACATACAGGGTACGTGTGTGTAGTACATACAGGGTACGTGTGTGTAGTACATACAGGGTACGTGTGTGGTAGCACATACAGGGTACGTGTGTGTAGTACATACAGGGTACGTGTGTGTAGTACATACAGGGTACGTGTGTGTAGTACATACAGGGTACGTGTGTGTAGTACATACAGGGTACGTGTGTAGTACATACAGGGTACGTGTGTAGTACATACAGGGTACGTGTGTGTACATACAGGTACGTGTGTGTAGTAAATACAGGGTACATGTGTGCTGTACATACAGAGTGCGTGTGAGTAGTACATACAGGGTACGTGTGTGGTAGTAAATACAGGGTACATGTGTGCTGTACATACAGAGTGCGTGTGAGTAGTACATACAGAGTGCGTGTGAGTAGTACATACAGGGTACGTGTGTGGTAGTAAATACAGGGTACGTGTGTGTAGTACATACAGGGTACGTGTGTAGTAGTACATACAGGGTACGTGTGTGGTAGTACATACAGGGTACGTGTGTGGTAGTAAATACAGGGTACATGTGTGCAGTACATACAGGGTACGTGTGTGTAGTACATACAGGGTACGTGTGTGGTAGTAAATACAGGGTACATGTGTGCAGTACATACAGGGTACGTGTGTGTAGTACATACAGGGTACGTGGTGGTAGTAACATACAGGGTACGTGTGTGTAGTACATACAGGGTACGTGTGTGTAGTACATACAGGGTACGTGTGTGTAGTACATACACGGTACGTGTGTGGTAGCACATACAGGGTACGTGTGTGTAGTACATACACGGTACGTGTGTGGTAGCACATACAGGGTACGTGTGTGTAGTACATACAGGGTACGTGTGTGGTAGCACATACAGGGTACGTGTGTGGTAGTAAATACAGGGTACGTGTGTGGTAGTAAATACAGGGTACATGTGTGCAGTACATACAGGGTACGTGTGTGGTAGCACATACAGGGTACGTGTGTGTAGTACATACACGGTACGTGTGTGGTAGCACATACAGGGTACGTGTGTGTAGTACATACAAGGTATGTGTGTGGTAGTAAATACAGGGTACATGTGTGCTGTACATACAGAGTGCGTGTGTGTAGTACATACAGGGTACGTGTGTGTAGTACATACAAGGTATGTGTGTGGTAGTAAATACAGGGTACATGTGTGCTGTACATACAGAGTGCGTGTGTGTAGTACATACAGGGTACGTGTGTGGTAGCACATACAGGGTACGTGTGTGGTAGTAAATACAGGGTACATGTGTGCTGTACATACAGAGTGTGTGTGTGTAGTACACATAGGGTGCTTGTGTGGGTCTCTGAAAACATAAAAGGTGCATGTGTAGAGCAGAGAGCGTGTGGTGCAGACAGTACAGGTGGTCAAAGAGCAGATTCATTCACACAGCAGTGAGCAGCTCATTCAGAGCACAAAGTGAGGGGCGTATGAATAATAGAGGGTCACTGTCAGGCCCTGTGTTAAATAGTGAATGAGCAGTGTGTGTCTGACCTGTAGCCAGATGACGTTGGCAGAGCCCCACTGGGTGACCACACTCTCTCCTAAGGACCCGTAGACCCGACCGAAGCCCGGGTACAGCACCCGCCCCCCGGGCCCCGCCACAGCCGCCTCGGCCTGCACCGTGGCTCCGGCGTGGATCACTGCTATGTTGAAGTTCATGATGGCCCCGGCATCGCGCTCCCGCGGGCTGGGCCGGAGCAGAAGGTGGGGGGAGGCGTCCAGCAGACCTGCCCACTCTACCAGCACCAATAGGAGAGAGAGAGTAGGTATGGCGACCATGGCAACCTGCCGAGGGGGGAGGCAGATATATATCGCTCTAAGAGAGGGTGCCTGCGAAGAGAAGGGGAAAAAGATTAAGTTAGACTCAGGTGTTTGTGCTGAAACAAGCTTCTGTTATTTTCAGAAATAAAATACACACAGCAACGCATGTGTGGGGAAAATGCTAAGTGTGAGAGAGAGGGGGGCACAAACTGATCAGAGATTGCACACGAGCAGCAGCGAATAATGAATTCTGAATCCAATCATGGCCTAATAAAAGTTAGCGTTGGCTGGAAAAAGCACTGAATGAGGAATATGGAATGTAGAGAGAGGAAAACAATGAAGCCGGGAAAACAAAACTAGATGGAAAGATGAAATGAGCGCTATTTAGGCTGCGGCCGTGCAGAAACAAAGCAACAGAGACTGGCCGTTAGAGGCAAGGGTGAAAACCAAAGAGCGCAAATAGCCAACACAGACAAAGAGGGGGCGGAGGGGGTTATTGTGCCGCATGAATGATAACAACAATTAAGACGACTGTAAACACACACACTCTCAGAAAGCACGCACACTTTTGGAGAAGCGCACAATGCAGGCCTGCACCGTGCCCTCACACTAGTCTAATGATAGAGAGATATGAGGGTTAATGCAGTAAGCACAAACATATGCGCACATTGTGGGCCCAGCACAGACAAAGATAATGACTACCTGTGAGATAGCAGGGTTAATATGTTAGCCGCGCACGCACACCAACACAGCACATCATTTTCAATTTACTCTTGGTGCCAAATGCCCTCCCTCCTTTTCTCTCCATTTCCTTCTCTCCACTGCCTTTTAGAATTCTCTATCTCTTCGGCCTATTTCCATGGCTTCAGGTACCAACACAATTGCACTGATTAAAGACCCTGTACCCGATTCTTTCCCATGTATGTGAGCAACATTTGTCTAACCCCAGTGTATTGTATAAGCAGCTCTTGAGGTTAAAATAAGTAAGTCTGCATTTAAAGGTGCACTGTGTGACCTTTCTGCTTGTCTCCTCGGTGATGTTATTGCTTTGCCTAGGATGTACCACAGTATGTCATTAACAAATATATATTGTATTTATTCAAGTTACAGGTGTTTTTATTTCTCAAAACCAGAGGTGGGGACTTGCAAGTGGTGACTTGGACTCAAGTCAGACTTGAGTCACTATTTTTAGGACTTGAAACTTGACCTGATAAATGGACTAAGACTTAGGACTCGACTTGGACTTGAAGGTCAGTGACTTGGGACTTGACTTGGACTTGAGGCCTGTGACTTGGGAAGCATTTTTAAATCTGAATTCTTTCTGTTCTGACTGTAATGATTCACACTAAAGTCTTTACATTTAAAAATTAAAGAAATTGCGTTTGTACAACTCTTACATACTCATAAATACTCACATGTAAATATACTATGACTTTATTTTATACAATTTATCTTAAAAGTCATAAGTTCCAAAAATCTAAGCTATATTTAGTACTTTGGTTTAAAAACTTGAAATGACTTGAAGCTCAAAGCAGATCTTGGACTTGACTTGGACTTATGGGCCAGTGACTCGAGACTCGAATTGGACTTTCCTGTCTTTGACTTGGGACTTGACTCGGACTTGAGGTCAAAGTCTTGAGACTTACTTGAGACTTGCGAAACAATGACTTGGTCCCACCTCTGCTCAAAACTACCACAAAAACATACATTCTGACTCTAAGCAGGACCACTTCTCCACAGATCTGACCTTAACTTGGCCTGGTGATGTGGCCTGCTTGTCCATGGGGATGGTTAAATTAAATGCCATAGTGTAGAAGTGGTTTATTGTCCAAGTAATTGCCCAGTAAGAGTACATTAGTCTCAGAAAGTAATGAAAAGTGCTTATAAACTCATCGTGGTGAATAATTAGGATACTCAGAATGCATAAGGTAAATGATGAATAACTTTGGATCACTGTTACCAGTTTGAAATTATCTAGTTCTGTTTTTTTATGTTTTTAAGACAGTAAAATCAGGTCTTTAACTGGAGACAATTTCCAGTCAAAGTGTCCCTGCGTTCCTTTATTTTGGTACATTTCTCTTCCTGTGACCTGGTCCCTTTGTCACCGTGGCTGATCTGTCTTTGGGGGAGCAGACAAAACATGAATTGTCAGGAGGGATGAATGAGACGACGCACAACTGAGGAGCTGAGAGAAGACGCTTAGTGCTGCCATCCGCTAATCATTAGAAAGTCCATGTTTCAATCAAAGCTGTTACAGTGTGAAAGGGGAGTGCAAATCACAGCAGTCAGGTTTTATATTCACTCTAACAAGTGTGAATTTTTCAGTTATACCATGCTACTACTGTATATGCAAGCCTGTGCAGTGCTGTTCATAACACTGACAAAAATATCATGCGATGCTGTACAGATGTCAAAAGCTTCAAAAATCAGATAGTAATTGGTTGAAAAACTAGTATCATAAGAACTAGATACTCATTTGAGAAAGTACTGATAAAAAATCCCCCTAACAGAAAAGAATTTGACATTTCTTTGACACTTTAGTTTCATCAGTAGGGCTGGGTATTATTAAGAAGTTGCTGATACGATACGTCTCAATACAGTGCACTTTCGATTCAATACAATATATTTCAAATTGATTCGGTACGGTTCATTAAAAAATAAGGCTAAATGATGGTTGTGATACTAAGAGTCTTGGTTAAACCTCTTCTTGTGCAAAAATAATTTGAAACACATGTTCATTTTACTCTAGCCTGTTTCATCAGAAAGGGTTCACTTCATGGAAACCTTCTGACCTTTCAGCATTAGGATTCGTTCGCTTGACGGGAGGTGGGTCCTTTTTTTATTTAACCATTTGCTACTATTTGATCATGACGTATGTAATGTGTCGAAACGCTCAGTGGTGCCCAAATAATTGTCGGAACAACAAACAAAGCAGAGAGTGAACGTGTCTGTCAACGGTCATTGTCGTTTCTGTGAGATGAACTTGCAAATTAAAGGAGCAATAAAAAATGCAACGTTTGTAAAGTCCAAAGGAGGATAGCGTATGCCAGGGATCTCAAACCTGTACCTCGGGAGCAACCAGGAGCCAACCCCTTCCAAGTAGCACACCAAGAGATGTCTGAATTATGTGCTGAAGAACAACATTTGAGTTAATTAAATGGCTATTACCTTTCTAAATGTATAATTTTGATGCCTAACTTTGTGCAGTAATAAATGGTTTAAGTTTTATAAGTATCTAGCTGTACCCCATGTAAGGCCGTGGCTCTTTTATAGAATCATTTTTTTGCGACCACTAAAATGAGTATCTCTCTGGTGGTTTTGTTTTGTAAAGGTAGCTCACTGGAGGAAAACTGTTGGAGACCCCTGGCATATGCAGTCTTCTGTCGCAAATCGGGTTGGTTCAGCTCTTCACTGATTGGTCGGTACGTGGTCTATAACTTCCGGGGTTCTTGCAAACCATTTAGTATATTCCAATTCCTGACCTAGTCGCGGAAGAGAAATGAAATTGAGCAGAGGCACTAGGCTAATTTTACTCATCAAAACAGTAAAAATGTCAATTGTGTTGCATAAACGAGTTTCCTTCCTATAAACAAGCAATAAAACTGTAGCACTGTAATCAAATAATTTAGTAAAATATACCCAAAAATACTCCTGATATATTAATACAGCAGCCCATGATATCAATACTGTATCACAACATTAAACGATACGATATATCGATATTTTATTATTTTTGCACATCTCTATTCATCAGTTGTATATGGTCAAATAAAATACTGTTATTTAGTGTTTAAAAGTCAGTATACAGTATCAGGTATCGCCAATAAAACAGAAGTTTTAGTATCATGAGAACAATACAGCGATGCCTCAGTGAAAGTTTACGTTACTCCATACAGCAGTAAAATCACAGACCCTTATGCCACAGATCCTTACATCATTTCAAAGCTCCCTTTATCTCTGCACTGTATCTCCTTATACTCGTGTGTGTAATGCCTCCTGCGTCCAGGAGCGGTCCATGGAAGAAAAGGTTTCAAAGGGAGACATCTGGACAGTGTTTTTGAAATGGAAGGTTCCAGCTGCCATCCAGTAGTCGTTTTCATATTATTTACAAACTAAGAACACTTTTCAACCATCTCCTTACACTACCTCTTATATAGTCTATTGGGCATATTTTACATTACACACAACCATTATTTATATGTGTTTGTGTAACCTATTTGTGCCTTTTGACATTATAGTTTAAATCAGGTGTACTCTTGGAACTCCCATCTACTCCTTTTACCTTTTACTTATTTGTAGTGTTTTTATGATGCTAAAATAAACCAATAAAAACATACATCCACTCATGTTATGTTATTAAATTGTAAATTTAGTTTCCCTTGTGGATGAACACATTTGCAAAACTGTTCTATTACCCAATCCACTTTGTTTATATAGGCTATTTCATAAACAAAACAGTTACCAAAGCACGGCACAATACACATCTATCCATACTATTACACTATTACCTATCCCAATATAAATAGGCCACAAGCAACAATACTTTAGATGCTGACTCCTCTTCTCAGACTTGATAGATAAATTGAAATACATTTAACTAAGTGTGGCTATAGCGCTGCACAATATACTTTAATTTAGTGTTATTGCAAAATCAATAGTATTCTCAATATGTTCTTATTTATAATACTGCTGGAGCAATACAGTTCTGCTTGGCACATTAAAGGGACGCTAACTTGTGTAAATAACCCAATCCAAAATGAAAACTTCATAAGCAGCTCTAGAAACAATCTGCAGAGTTAAAAAAAATGTGTGAAAGACATTGTTGGGGTATAATTTCTGGGAAGTACGTCAAGATATTTTCAAATTTTAACAACAAAACAAAAAAAACGTTTCTTTTTTTTCTTTTTTGCTAGACAATATCATCTTCCACTTACCTGGCTAAAACCACATGCTTTGACAAAACTTTACAAAGGCGAGTGTGCCTGAACTGTTTCCTGTCTCCTCGATTTGAGTTGGGC